ACAAGCCAATATAAATCTTCAGGTTTAAGAAAATTGAATAGGGGAAGTTGTTGTACCCCAAAATTTGCCCTCCCATATTTCTTAAAACATTTCAAGAAAGATCCCCAAGTTGCTCAAGGTAGTCCAAGAGTTGGCCAGACAAGCTCTCTTTACAAGACAAAATTACATTTCAACAACATTCATAGCATATGCATACAAAATACATATAACACAAATCTCATTTATTTTGAGAACATCATTACACAATGCACACATCATGATATTGCATACAACTTACTCTTTACCTTTTTAGGAAAGATCAATCAATAGATAAAGGTTATCATCTTTTGGAGTAATAATCGTCCAAGATTCCTTCATCATCCTGCTGAGGTAGTAATCATCCAAGATTCCTTCATCATCCTGCTGAGGTAGTAATCGTCCAAGATTCCTTCATCATCCTGCTGAGGTAGTAATCGTCCAAGATTCCTTCATCATCCTGCTGAGGTAGTAATCTTCCAAGATTCCTTCATCATCCTGCTGATGTAGTAATCTTCCAAGATTCCTTCATCATTTTGCTGAGGTAGTAATCATCCAAGATTCCTTCATCATCCTACTGAGGTGGTAATCGTCCAAGATTCCTTCATCATCCTGCTGAGGTAGTAATCGTCCAAGATTCCTTCATCATCCTGCTGAGGTAGTAATCGTCCAAGATTCCTTCATCATCCTATTGAGGTAGTAATCGTCCAAGATTCCTTCATCATCCTGTTGAGGTAGTAATCATCCAAGATTTCTTCATCATCCTGTTGAGGTAGTAATCGTCCAAGATTACTTCGTCGTTCTACCGAGGTAGTAATCGTCCAAGATTCCTTCATCATCCTGATGAGGTAGTAATAGTCCAAGATTCCTTCATCATCCTGCTGAGGTAGTAATCGTCCAAGATTCCTCCATGATCCTGCTGAGGTAGTAATTGTCCAAGATTCCTTCATCATCCTGCTGAGGTAGTAATCGTCCAAGATTCCTTCATCATCCTGCTGAGGTAGTAATCTTCCAATATTCCTTTATCATCCTGTTGAGGTAGTAATCGTCCAAGATTCCTTCATCATCCTACTGAGGTAGTAATCGTCCAAGATTCCTTTATCATCCTGCCGAGGTAATAATTGTCCAAGATTCCTTCATCATCCTGCTGAGGTAGTAATCGTCCAAGATTCCTTCATCATCCTGCTGAGATAGTAATCGTCCAAGATTCCTTCATCATCCTGCTGAGGTAGTAATCATCCAAGATTCCTTCATCATCCTACTGAGGTAGTAGTCTTCCAAGATTCCATCATCATCCTGTTGAGGTAGTAATCATCCAAGATTCCTTCATCATCCTGCTGAGGTAGTAATCTTCCAAGATTCCTTCATCATCCTGGTGAGGTAGTAATCGTCCAAGATTCCTTCATCATCCTGCTGAGGTAGTAATCGTCCAAGATTCCTTCATCATTCTGCTGAGGTAGTAATCATCCAAGATTCCTTCATCATTCTGTTGAGGTAGTAATCATCAAAGATTCCTTCATCATTTTGCTGAGGTAGTAATCTTCTTCAAAGATTCCTTCATCATTCTGCTGAGGTAGTAATCGTCCGAGATTCCTTCGTCATCCTACTAAGGTAGTAATCGTCCAAGATTCCTTCATCATCATGTCGAGGTAGTAATCGTCCAAGATTCCTTCATCATCCTGCTGAGATACGCTCCAAACACGGGTTCCACTCTGATACTCATTCAGATTCATCTTTCAGATACAATTCAGATACGCTCCAGATATGGATGCCATCTTGATACTCATTCAGATTCAAATTTCAGATGCAGTTCAGATATGCTTCATATCCCGGATGCCATCCTGATACTCATGCAGATTCAACTTTCAGATACAGTTCAGACACGCTCTAGACACGAACACAATTCTGATACTCATTCTTTCAGGTTACAAATTACAATTCAACAATAACTCTTGGATGGCATCTTTAAGCCCAACTCCCACAACTTTCTATCACCTCTCCAAATGGCATCTTTAAGCCTATTCCCTCAACCATCACATCATCAAGTGCAAATTTCTGGGCACTCTAGTGTCCAATCATCTTCCACCTTTGAGTCACGAATGACAAAACTCGCCAATCTAGCTCTTCAGGTTTAAGAAGATTGAACAGGGGCATCTGTTGTACCCCCAAATTTTCCCTCTCATTTCTCAAGGATTCTCTCACAAGATCTTCTATGACGTCAAGGTTGCAGCACTAATACCTTAATTTAGGCTTGGAATTGGCAAAAGGGAAAAAGGGTCAATTGCATACTAGAAAGTCAAACTTTGACTTTTTTGGTCAACATTACATTCCAAATAACAAATTTCATCAATACATTCAAGAATATCAAGCTTGATCATCAAGAAGTCAAGAAAGTCAAAAGTCAACTTGAAAATTCAAGATTTCCAAGACTTAGAAATTTTCTAAGTGTTTTTATACATGATTGTGATACGGTGGGAGAACTGACTTGAGGTTTCGTGTTTGTGTTTGAAAATGTTTCGGTTTAGCAAGAGTCACCACTGACTTTTTATTTTATCCTAAGGAAAGGTCAAAAAGCACAGGAAAGACCTTTGAGATGTTTTCTTGGGTTCGGGGAGTAGATTATAGAAAGGGAAAGGTATTAGCACCCTTTCCATCCATGGTTATCCATGGGCTCTTAGTTACTTGTTTAGATCACTTGCTTTGCTTTTCAATTGTTTGAAATGGTGCTCTTCAATTGTTTGAAATGGTGCTTTGTGTGTGGTTTTGAAAGATGTTTTGAAAAGAGGCCATCGTTGTGGCAACCTTTGTAATGATTCTTGTTTGAATGTATACAAAGGTGTTTTTGTCTTTTGAAAATTTTCCAATGTTTGAAAGTAGGGTTTTGAAATTGTGTTATGAAGTGTGTTTGAAAATAGCAAGGATGTTTTTTGCAAGCTTTTGATCAAGTAACTAAGAGCTATCTACCCTATTTTACTCAAAGACCTTTCTTATGTTTTAACCCTTTTAACAGTGTTGCTTCACCATTGTATTTGGTGAACAACCTTGTGTTAGGATGTTAAACGGACCGGCGCGGGTCCATCGTATAGACCATGATAGCAATTGTGTCAAGTATCTTTGGCAATTTTCTTAAGGGACTTGATCATTTTGTTTAGGCAACTCAGATAGCGTCATTGAGGGACTATGATCTTTGTTTTGTTTTTTGTTTTACCAAAGTACTTAACATGCATATCATGACCCATTTTTGAAGGCAACAAGTGGATTGTAACCCTAGGGGTGCAAGTGTGCATTGTGTTTGTTTTTCATGCATTTTTGTCTTTGATTAGGTCAAACTATTTGTTGGTTTTGATTTTGCATACAAACCCTAATTCTCTAATCATGGCATAATTGAAAGCATTAAGTGCGTAAAAATAAATCTAAGCTATTACAATTTTGATATAGGGAGGGGGGTACAATTTTGAATAGGGGATTATTTTGCAAGAAATTAAAACCCTAAATTATTACAACCAAATTGAATTTACAAGGCATAATATTTAAATGGGCAATATTTAAATAAACACAATAAATAAATGTTAAATAAAAATGTATTATGCAAAAAAGTT